AACTAAGCAGATAGTCAAATACATCGAATCGAGGGAGTATTACAATCATAGCTCCAACGTTGTTCCTAAAACAGCTGAACTGTAGAATGTAAACCCCCGTGGAAAAGAGAAACAAATAAAAGTCGAAAGTCAGAAACCGGAATTACCAGTTGCTGCTAGAAAACACATAGGGCACCATATCAATGAGATTGGGATGATTCATGCCAGATGCAATTGCAAAATTTTAGATGTAATCAATGAAAAAAGCAAAAAGTGGGACTGGGACTCGGACGATGAGCCCAAAATCTGACAAACAAAAAAGAGAATAAGAAAACAAAACCAAAAAACAAAGACTTACTGTATAAGTCTGTGACAGCACTGTTGTCTCCAATGCTAACTTCTGCTCTTGTTCGACATCGTAAGCCACATAGCACAATTTTTCCTTCATCAATCGTACTGTTTCAAAATCAGCTGAGTGATTGAAATTGTAACCCCGCAGCAACAGTAGCTAAATTAGCAAGTATTTTGTTGAGTAAAATCATATCGATAAATCTTTACCTTGATCAAGTAGCGGGTGATGTCTCGCCCTGCAATATCCAGCCTTCGTGTTAAGTGATGAAGTGCATATCCCTGATATACTGGGCAGATATGTGTCACTCCATCACCAGAATCAACCACGACACCGGTAAGAAGACCTTGAGCATATAAAGTCAGCACAGCCTGAAAACCTTTCGCACTGCGATAAGCCGGATATCGAAAGAGAGAGAAAAAATGTATAAAAAAGTAAACGAATCAATAACAATGCTGCTTACCTGTACTGCCACATGTATAGAATGGAAGCCATACTGTTCGAACATCACTTGAAATAGTCTCTCTCGATTACTACTCGGATTCAGAGGTGGTTCAGTCAATAGAAGTTTACATTCCTGAAAAAAGAGATTCGGAGAATTCTGTACGATGATAGCATAACTTCAGTAATAGTGTGGTGTTGTATTCCCACTAATTCCACATTCCACTATTTCGTTACGACCAAAGAACGAGTTTTATCAGATCTAACTGCTAGCTCTGGCCTTAGGCAGCTTCTCCGCAAAATTTCGCTGTTCACTTTTTCACCTAAACGAAACCTTTCCGCCATGAGGAATATAAGGGAAGGTATCTGGGCTCTTCACCGCATGAAATGGCAAAAACGAGCTTTAGTCATCAAACAATGAAAATATGCCGGAAGCCTTCGCCCCCTCCCTCGTGTCGGACACCACCCACCCACACATATTTTCCGCTGGATGCGAACCTGGAAAAAGAGAGAAAAGCTCATGTTTGTCATTTTCATGCGCTGAAAAGCCCA